TGAGGAACTGTATTTAAAGGGCCAGAAGGTTGAGAACCACTGTCTAAGGCAGTGATGGCGAACCTATGACACGCTTGTCAGAGGTGACACGCGAACTCATTTTTTTGGTTGATTTTTCTTTGTTAAATGGCATTTAAATATATAAAATAAATATCAAAAATATAAGTCTTTGTTTTACTATGGTTGCAAATATCAAAAAATTTCTATATGTGACACGGCACCAGAGTTAAGTTAGGGTTTTTCAAAATGCTGACACGCCGAGCTCAAAAGGTTCGCCATCACTGGTCTAGGGTAACTCTTATCTCCCCTCCAGTGGCTGCAGCAGTGGCATTTGCAAAAAGACTGACTGTTCACTAACAAGGAGAATGAAATACCCCAAGTGAAGGTGACATTAAAATAGACCTAGTTTTTCAAAGTCCAGGTTTCCTGGGGTTTGTGCATTGCTAGCTCACTCTTCTGGCTGGAGCCTGGGAGACTGTGGGTTTAGTTATGTGGAGAGGTGACCACACAGCTGTGCTCTGGGTTTCCAAGAACAGAGGAATCAGAAAAAGCCTGCGAGGCACCCGGTGCTCTTGGGCCCAGGAGGTTCCCCTATGCGGGGAGGTTTTCCCCTCTAGGGAAGGGAACACACACACACACACACAACACACACACACACACAGGTTTTCCTCTCTAGGGAAGGAAACACACACACACACCTCTGTTCTCGTGACTGCCTTCTGTCCTCCAGTGTGGTGGCCCTGCTTCACCTGAGAAATAAACATGTGACCGCCCCCTGTCCCGACTGGGTTTATAAGAGGTTTTTACTAATCACTGGGCAGTTACCAATTCCTCATCAGTGAATCTGATTTCAAGATGTTGATTCTAGGTAGTCGATACTAATAAACACTAGTAAACTCCTCTTACAACGACAGTAGTCATTTGTGCTGCCCCTTCTTGAAAATGGATGTGCTCATATGAAATGAATTGCAATGAGATGTGAACCGTGATGGAGCGTTCCACCGCATTAGAGTCACACTGAATTGAGGCTAGCATCCCCGGCTTTGGGCCAGCAGCTCTGAAATCATGAGTTGGAAGAAAGTGGCTCCGGTCTCACTGGGTCTTATCTGCAATGAGATGTGAACCGTGTAGATGGAGCGTTCCACCGCATTAGCGTCACACTGAATTGGGGCTAGCATCCCCGACTTTGGGCCAGCAGCTCTGAAATCAAGTTGGAAGAAAGTGGCTCCGGTCTCACCATTCTTGTTGGTAAAAATGAAACTTTGGGGTCCCCAAATGCTCCTCCTGGAGACTCCAGATTGATGTTCTCCACGTGGAAAACAGTACCTGTATTGTGACCCGAGTAATGAGGTTTAAAAATGGTTGGGAAGCTACACATTCACATGAGCACTGTGTCTCAAAGTAGCCACCGAGGAAACCACATTCCAATATTGCAGACATGCTGGGACTCCCTGTAGCCAGCGGTTCTCAACCTGTGGGTCGCGAACAATGTTATTGTGACCCGAGTAATGAGGCTTAAAAATGGTTTGGAAGCTACACATCCACATGAGCACTGTGTCTCAAAGTAGCCACCTAGGAAACCACGTTCCAAAATTGCAGACATGCTGGGACTCCCTGTAGACGCTGTCCAGAACCTGCTCCCATCGGCCTAGGTCTAGGAGAACCAGGTTTATGGCTTCTTAACCACATTTAGTTTGGAATCCCAAACAGAATTACATCACCTGACCAATTTTTTTGTCACTGATCTTAATTCTTAAATGCCCCTTCAAAGTATAGACATTTGCCACCAGTGACGAGCTATTGAAGAATGCGCTCTAGGCTCTGAAAGCTAGTCTCAGTGAAGGAAGCAGAAGTGATGGGAAACATTTTCAGGTCTTCTGTGGCTGCCACACTGAAGGGGACAGCATGTTTTAGTTCTGGTGTGTTTTCCTACACCCACCGATGCTGTCCAGAACCTGCTCCTATCAGCCTAGGAGAACCAGGTTTATGGCTTCTTAACCACGTTTAGTTTAGAATCCCAAACAGATTACATCACCTGACCAATTTTTTTTGTCACTGATCTTAATTCTAAATGCCCCTTTAAAGTATAGACATTTGCCACCAGTGAAGAGCTATTGAAGAATGCGCTCTAGGCTCTGAAAGCTAGTCCCAGTGAAGGAAGCAGAAGTGATGGGAAACATTTTCAGGTCTTCTGTGGCTGCCACACTGAAGGGGACAGCATGTTTTAGTTCTGGTGTGTTTTCCTACACCCACCCAACGACCTTGGTGTCTTCCCTCACTGCCCAGCTGTGTTGAGATTTGAGCGGGACTGCGGGTTATGGGACTGGAACACACTTCCAAGGCTTCCTGTATAGAGAAAGCATGGAGTAAGTCATTCCTGTCATTTGGGGCAGTGGCTTTTTAACTTTTGGGGTCACAAGACCGCTTTGAAAATGTAACAAAAGCTGTGCTCACTTTCCCAGAAAGGCACACATAGCCTGAGATGCTGCACACCACTGGGACTCTGAAAACTTCTCCGTATCCCCAGGTTAAGACTCCTGCTCTTGGGCTCTGGTTTAGACCTGTGCTGCAAGTCTGTGTTGATCAAACTGACTAGGTCAGTTCCATCTAGCATGGCCTAGCACTTCACGGGGCAACTAAGTCCTGTTTAGCCATGAAAGTCGAGCAGTCGAACAGTCCCAGAGCAGCTGTCAAGGTCCTGGAGCTGTCCCAGGCTCCTGGGAGGTCCTGCAGCCTAAAATCTAGCTGTCCACACAAGGACAGGGCTGAGGAATCCCTGGTAGTCCATTCCTTACAGGAGGGTATGGGGCTGGAGTCTATAAGAGTACAATGGGGTTACAGGACACCAGTTGCTAAGGATTTGGGAACGTTAGTATTGGTAAGATTTCCAATAACTGTTCTGGGAGAGTGGAAGAAAACTGAACCCCACCCACTAGGAAAAGGGATGCCTGGATTGGGTACCTGACACGTTTGGAGATCATGAGGGGGTCCCAGAGATTACCTAGTCCAAACCCTCTTGTCTCATCATCATGGAGGGAACTTGCCCAAGGCCACAGAGCTGGTGTGTGGAAAAGCTGCACTTACTGAGCACCTACGCTCACTAGGGAGGCTCTGAGTTTGGAATCAAGATACTGTCCTTGCAGTTAATGAACTCACCACAA